TCGATCCTAGTTATCCATCTAATTTGTTTATCCATCGATCCATCCATCCAGGATTGTGTTCATTTGGTTCTGATCCATATGTCAGAAACTCAAGGTCTGGAACTTAGACGAAGCAGGAAACTGGCAGCTTTGCCCTTTGACCTCTTCTTCCTCTTCATGCAGCAGAGTGGATCCTCACCATGCAGATCCAGCTCAGATCCATCCAAGAAACTCTCCTGCCATGATCTCTGAATAAAACATTAATATTCTGTAGCTCCTCCAGGCAGTGAAAAGAGTTGAAGTGCAGAAGAATATTTTGTTGTGTTGCTGCTGTGCTACTCAGTGGAGGTCTGTCAGAAAGACCGCCTGTTGCTTTTACTTACCGGAGAGTTAATGAGGTCCAAAACGGCCTCATTAGTCCGGATGGACCTCTGAGAAAAGGGTCAACTTGACCGAATCAAGACAGTGAAGAGGTTTTTGTGGGTCTAGAGGGATAATTAAAGTTATTTGGAGCAAACGGCTTCGTCATGCGTGGGCTGAAACCGGGTGGTTGGTTGGTGTTTCTGGTGACTGTGTGTGTTTGTGGAAAGCAGCTGGTGCAGATGGTGAAGGTTTCCATGTTTCCAGGTTTCTTAATGTCCCTGGTTATCTCATTAGCCGCGCTTCCATAAAGTGCTGGATTATAAAAGGTTGATCGAAAAACTAAATTCAAACGAGCTTCCTCAATTTTGCAAAATAAAAAACAGAGGAAGCTTGCAGCGTGTGAGGGACTCGAACGAGGACAAAAAGGTGTTCAAAGCAGAAAAAGTTCAATTTAAATCTTCCAAAAACAGAGAACAAAGCATCAAGATTTAGTGCAAGAATAAGTCAAACAGGATAAATAACACGTTTGGATAAGGCTTTTAATAGAGCTGGCTGAAAAACGCATCACAATATCAGCGACAGATAATTATCGATTAGTTTATTTGTTAAATATATGAAATGCTGCCAAACTGGTGATGTGACATTTCCCATTTTATCCACAGTTTTCTCTCTATTCTGCTGTTTGTTTGTTTTAATCAGTTATGAGGCACAAACCTGAAACTGCTGCTGCTCAAGTTACTCAGCATGTTGTTGCTAGGTAACCAAAGAATGGACGGGTTGCTAGGCAACTAACGTTTCTTCGCTCGCCTTGAGAGGTTCAGGAGATGAAGTCTTCCAGTACAAATGATCGGACATTTTGTCAGACGTATTACTCATCGTTATTGATCACCTGTCTGATCGCAATACGTATTGTTGATTGATTGTCCGTATTAATTTGATTTCATAGTTTGAAAGGGTGGAAAACTCTCTGGTATGTGGACATATTTGCACCTACCCTTCGGGGTTAATGACGTTGCATCATAATGAGCTAAACTGTATCACTTTCTCTCAGGCCCTGTTTGCTGAGCCTGGCTGGATTTGATGGAAATGTGCTTCAGAAACGGCACCACTGCTACAGTTGTAGTTCAAACGGCCTTGTTTCCAAAGGCTGAGGAGTTTTTAAAAAGGGAGGGTTTTTTTTTGTAGACTTTATTTTAAAGTCAGGTTAAAATCAGACCTCCACTTTTTCCACAAGAGGAGTTAAAATTCTTCGAGCCCAGCTCTTGAGTTTTCACGCTTCGTCGTCATCCTCCTCCAGCCGCCGCCCCTCAAACCGCCCTGTGAAGGACAACACAGGAAGGAGAGCAAACAGGACTGTTTATTTGCTGCTTAATTGGACCTCTTTTAATTGCTGTTTATCTTCCCAGGGTCCATTTTTCTATAACGGAAATATAATCACTGCTTGCGCTTACGCAACGCTGAATTCCGCGAGGGGCAGCGATGGGCAGAGCGAGGACAGAGGAGGGGATTGTTGTGCCTTTTGGACTGAATTCAGCTCTTGATTGTGGATTTTTTCTGAGTGCTGCGTGCTTCTGCAGCTCATCACACACAGCAGCCAACTGCTGATTACGCAGCACTTGTTTTGTCCGTGACGCTGAATCAGGCAGAGAGTTTTGTCCAACGTTTACCAAACCTGGAAGAGCAGAAAACAGTTTGTCCTTGATCATTCCTGCGATGTCTCTCTAAGGGTTTGGAATTTGTTTTGATGATCTGATAGCATTGAGATCAAATGTCTTCCAAACCACTTCCTGTTGTCTTGGGATTCAGAGCCACTTCCCTTTAAAAGTTAATTAGAGACTCAGCAGAAGGTCGAGTGTTTGGCCGCCATGACTTATTGTTCCAGTTGGAAGCTGATGCCAACACATCAGTCTTCTAAAAGCTGATTAGAAATGTCTTTTCTCCTTAAAGAGGATTGAAGAGCCAGAAACCTTGATACTCCTCCTGATTCCTCTCTCATGCAGAGTTCAGTAAACAATGGCAGGGGAGTAATAACAGATTTCCTCCCGCGTTCAAAGGTTAAGATAGTGAGTCGGACAGGATGGAGCAAACCGCTGATCGTAGCAGGTTGCTTTAGGTTGTCAGAGTCACATGTTATTTGGTAAACCGAGACTTTTCTGGGTGATTTCAGAGTAAGACATTAAATATTGCATGTGGGGTTCCACAAAGCTCCATACTCAGCTCACATTTGTTCAAAATGAATATGATCTCAGAAGCTCAGACTATGAAGGACTAATACATAGATTTATATTTAAAAACATGCATTATATAATCTTTACAATGGTCTAAATGCTCTCTTTTTAAAAATTGCTGTTAATTTTTAATTCTGCATCATTAATACCATGTTCCAAATTATTATGCAAATTATCATTTGGAATTTAAGTGTCATAAAATGCAATTTAAATGTCATAAAATGCAATTTTATGACACTTAAATGGCATTTAACATTTTTTTGATGTGCTATTAAATTTACAGATGGTATTGTGTATCACGGCTCTTTGAATCTCTATAATTAATTTCAGAGATCTAGTTGATTAGTTTGTCTGGTGAACTCAATTAAAGGAAATCTACTTAAGAAGGATGTTCCACATTATTAAGCAGGCCACAGGTTTCAACCAATATGGGAAAGAAAAAGAATCTCTGATGACGAAAATCATCAGATAGTGTAGTGCCACATGGCAATGTATGAAAACATTATATATTTAACAAAAACTGAAGCGTTATCATACTGTGAAGAGATTTGTGGCTGATTCAGAACAAAGATGGGTTTGTACAGATAAAGGCATCTTAGACAAATTTATCGTATTAAGAGAGCAGCTGTTAAAATGCCCTTACAAAGCAGCAAACAGTTATTTGAAGCTACTGGTGCCTCTGGAACCTCAAGGTGGAGGATCCTCCGGAGACTCCTCCACCTCTATGAACCAACTATTGGGCTCCGAACCAGAGCTCACAAGCAGAAACGGTCGCAGTGGGCCCAGACGGACATGAAGATTCATTTTTAAACAGACTTGTTCACTGTTGACTGCTGTGCAACCCTGGATGATCCAGATGGAGGCAGTGGTGGATTGGTGGATGGCCACCACATCCCAACAAGGCTGTGATGTCAGCAAGGAGGTGGTGGAGTGATGCTTTGGGCTGAAATCATGGAGAGAGAAAGAGCTGGTCGGCCCCTTCAGAGTCATCGTTATTTGATTGTGCTAAACATTGTGCTGTTATGACATCAATGTTCTTCTGCACTTTTGGGTTGAACAGCTCACACGGAAGTCTGACCCCAATGTCATTTAATTAGTGATATAATGTTACAAAAATACAATTATTGGAAAAAAAATGGAATTGAGCATCAATTTTTTTTAGCTGTTTTCAGTGTTTATTTAAATTCCTTTTAGTTTCTTTCTTTACTTTGGCTATAAAATGTGTAATTTTTGTTTAGCAAGCATGGTAGAGTCCCTCAGAATTGTTGTTTACCTTTAAGGATAATGGATGCGTCCTTTGTGGGGAGACTTTAGTCCCAGGAGAGGCGAACTAGCAGAGCTCTGGCCCAAATACGAATGTCCTGTTTTATGAAACAGTACAAAATGCAGCTATGTTTCCAGCTCTGAGCTGAAACCGAGCAGAAATGAGATCTAGAGAGTTTTGAACACACTGTCTAGGCAGACTTTAATGTCAATTTTGCAAGATGTTCCTGTTTCTTTCCATTTGTGTCCTGTCAGAGCCGCTCTGCTCTCTCAGCACTGCAGCATTGAGCTGCTCCATCATGCGGTTATCTACTGCAGCTGATGAGCTGAATCTGCTTCATCAGGCCTGACTTCTCAGCACAAAACGCTGCCGCTTTCTGTCCAAAAGCGGATAATTACTCAAATCTGTCTGCGTAGGGATGCAAGTTATCAATTAACGACTTAATCTAAAGTTGATTATATCCACTAACATAAAAATCAGTTGAAAAGGACCGTCTTTTTACTATATAAAGGGATACAGTTCTCATAATATACCAAATAAATTACTTTGTTTCAGCTAGTACTAATTGCCTGAATGAACAGAAAATGGTGGTTTAATCATATTATTAAACTTATTCAAATATAGCAAAACAGAAGCACCTCTGATGGTTGAATAAAACCATAAAATATGTAATTAAATTTAAAAAATATATGAAACTGTGAATCCCCAGTGAACAGAGATGTTTTAAATGAAAAGTCTGCGGTTGCTCTTGAAGGAAGGTTAAAACGTCCCTCCACGAAGAGCATTAACACTGAAAACACGTTATTGTTGCAGTTGTTCCTGTTGACATCCTCGCCTTCGTAGCACATCATTCATTTTTGCATCATTCATTCATACTTCGCCATGCGGCTCGGTTGAATGAACGCTATTAAAGGTGATAACTTAAGGAGTCCGTCGAATGTTTATATTTCAAAACAGAACCGCTTAAAGTGCCTTTTCCATCCCAAACCGGACTCTGTTTGGACCGTTGCTCTTTGTTATGCTATAGCCTCGCCGCCATCTTTGATTCTGTCGTAACTGCTCCGCTTAAGGATGACATTTTTTTATAGAATAAACTATGAATCGACAATAATAGCATTGGAAGCTTTTATTTGGTTTATAATGACACTTTCCTCCTCTCTCCGCAGGCTCTTGCTGCCAACGCGGGAACAGGGCTCGGTGCGGTGGAGCCACAGGTCGCCATGTTCTGTGGAAAACTCAACATGCACGTGAACATTCAGACCGGCGGCTGGGAGCCCGACCCGTCAGGAACCAAAAGCTGCGTAGGAACCAAAGAGGGCGTGCTTCAGTACTGTCAGGAGGTGAGTCACAGCGACACAGACACCTAAACAAAGGAAGTGACAAAGCACATTACCGAGGTTAATAAAAAATAAATAAATTAATATTATATTATTTTATTAGGACGTGAGGGAGGATTTATTTGGGTTTGGTCATTAAAGGTTAGTTGTGCATCTAAATACATTACGATATCATTATTCAAAACAGATTTGTGAAAAAAGAAAGCAAATATTACTTAAAACTAACTGACATTTTTAGAATTTAGAACGATGATGATGCATTTCAGTTCAAGATGTCTCTTTATGGAACAATTTTGACAGAGAAAAAAAAAAACAACCCAACTCTCTTTTAGCATTTAAAATAAATCATTATGATGAAGCAATATTGAATATGATGATGTTTTGTTGTGTATTTGAAATATATCAGTGATGGTCTTCTGAGTTGAATAAGCTAATTTCCTTCATTTTTTCTCAGATATAAGTTTGTACTTGTTACATGAACTATTCATATTTATTGAGTGAATTAAATAAAAAAATGAAATGGGGATAAAGATTGATTTCTCACAGAGTGGTACACTGGAAATATTCCATTAATAAAAATTTTTGGAGGGTTTTATGCTGCATTCGGTGCTTGGTTAGGACTCATTTTGCATTACTGTCTCAGTACCGTACAGCCTGGAGGTGAACAGCCTGAGGCTCTACTTAGGTGCCATCTTGCCTTAACAGCAGCCTTTGGCTCTTCATCAGTGCCCCTCGTTTTCCTCTTGACAACACAAATCTACAAGTTTTAGTCCTTAAACATTAATCATAACCATTAGTTCCACTGATGCTAAAGCGCTACGCTAGCATGGTACTTAGCTGAAGCAAATGATAAAGTACAAATTTTAAGTTTACTTTCATTTGTAAGTGGTACTTTGAAACAAAACAAAGTCTGGATCTGTAAAAAAAAAAAAAAAAAAAAAAAAAAAAAAAGAAGCCCATAACAGCTATTTGCACAAAGCTTCTTTTTGGTTGTCATATTTTTAGATGAAAGTTACATTAAAAATTCCTTTAAAGTGTAGAATAAACTAAACAGAAATACATTTTACATCTATTTCCAGTTGGTTGAAGGCATTTTGGTTCAGGTGAGGATCTGGATTAGCTGGAAAGATCGAATACGTTCCTTTTAATTTCATGGTGATTTGTCCTCAGAGACGCCATTAAGCGCTTCCTGGGGGACGGATGTTATTGTAGTGTGTGGCATTTCAATTACCGGAGCCTCTACCTGTCATTTCCTGGGCTTTGCCTGAAATTAAGGAGGTTTTTCTCCAAAACACGGATTTCCTCATTCTTGTCTTGGCCTGCGGATTGTAATCTTGAAGGTTTTTAAGGAGAAAGCGTCCACAGATGCTTCAGTTGTGTTTTATAGATGACATTTTCATGGCATTTAAGGAAAGTGCAAACCTGTGTGCTCTTTCACAGTTGAGCAGAAGCCAAGCTAGTGGGTATAAAGCCCAGATAAAAAGATCTATTAAAGGGGATGAATTATGCTATTATGGTGTCCAAACTTTTTGAAAAAACTTGAAGGCAAAAGTAATTCTGGTTATGTAGGAGCCACTTCTTTGGATTTATTTGGAGCTAAAGCAGCTCCATATAGGCAGAACTGACCAAACTAAAATCTCATTAACTAAGAATGATTTTGTAAAAATTAAAATGTGATTAACATGTTTTGTATAGGCCTATCCTAACTTGTTCAATGAAGCATAATAGATATTCCTTAAAGCTCCAGTCAACCATGATCGTAAGTGTTTAATATCTGCTTCTGTTTCCAACAGATGTATCCAGATCTCAAAATCACCAACGTAGTGGAAGCCAACCAGCCTGTCCGCATTGATAACTGGTGTAAAAAGGAGAAGAAGGTGTGCAAAGGCCACGCCCACATCGTGGTGCCTTACATGTGCTTAGGTAAGCTAGTAAACGCTCCTTTAACTGAGACCCTGCTCCCCTCTGTGCTGAAAACGAAGAGCTTATGAGTCATTTCAGCCTTGGGCAGAGGTGACATTGAGTGATATTGGATTCGGTTCACTAATTCTGGCCTTTAGCTGCAGACTGAGCCGATCCGCGCTGGATGGGGAGTTAATGTCTCCCAGAACGGATGGCTGATGGGGGAAGGATTTTACTGCTGGGGAGGCTTGTTGAGCAATAAAGCACAATCTTATTTGCCCCCTTAGACAGCGGTCATAAACTCACGCTGACACACAGGGTCAGCGGCGGAGGGCTTGCTTTATTGTGTCCCGTACCGCTGTTTGACTGCACTGTCACAAACGACTCCCGTCCTCCACTGTTCCCGGCAGGATCACGATAATCTGCAGCGGCAACATGGCCGTATTCTGCTGCATGAAATATCACATGCAAAGTCGTATGAAGAAAAACGACTGCAGCACGCTGCTTCTCCCTTCTTGGGATGAAGGAATATGAGAAATGGATTCCTGAAAACAAAGACTCTCCCTCCAGCTATAAAAAGAAGAAACATCTTTGTCTGAGCAGTGGTGTCTCCAAGAGGGGGGACAAGGGAGGCCATGTCTCCCATGAAAAATGCTGGATATATATGCATACACACCTCGATTTACAAAATTAGAATATTACAGAAAAAAAACATTTATTTCATTCACTTTATCATTAACGGAAAAGCATTATGTAGGTTAATTACACAGAGATGGAGGTTTGAAAGCCTTCATTTCTTTTAATTATGATGATTTTCTACTTGTAGGTAATGAAAACATGACGTTTAAAATTATAATATTACATCAAACCAATTAAAATGACTTTTTTATTTTATAGAAATATGGATTTAAGGAAAAGTATGTTTAATAGTTTACGAGTTATAATTGTCAACAGGTATATATTAGTCTGACAAACAAGCCTAATCTGAATACTTGTTCTAAATTATTGAAAAACTGTATTTTATAATCATAAACGGCACACACTTGAAAACTGCTGTACAGTAATTATTACCAATCAAAGCTAAAAAACAATCATAGAAAAGGATTATTATCTTTAATCATCCAATATTCTCAATTAATTTTAAGCCAAGTCTGTTTGCGTGTTTATAGAAAAGCCTAACAGAAATGCAATGCCTTCAGCTGCGTGTCTGGCTATTATAAAAACAGGAGACGACAGACTGTCTGACCTAAGGAGGAAATGAAAGGTTCAGAATGTCACATACTTGAGAGAAGCATATGCTGTAACAGTCAGATTCACTTAGTCGTGTTTTACCCATCGGCAAATGGCTTTTTATCTAAAGAAGCCAAGGCAATAACATCAAGCAAAGGCAAAATCATGGCTTTAGTTTTCTTCCCATCCAGTTTTGTAGGTTTTTGGATTTGGCTGCGACACATTTAGAGACACTTATCAGAGCATTTGGGTTCCAGAGTTTTTTTATTTAGCTTTGATCATCTCTAATAATTTGACACAGGTAGCTAAAAAGTTAGCTACACAAACACTGAAGCATTGATCAGAAACATCAGTTCTGCTAACATTAAAGTGCTACACCAACATGGTATTTAGTGGAAGCTAATGCTTAGCTATTGCTAATGCGTTCATTTTAATCAGGTAGATACTAGAAAAATGTCAACAAAGATGTTAAACTTTATTCAGTTGAATGTTTACAAAACAGCTGAGTAAAGTAGTGCACTAGAATTAATCAGGAAAAATAAATTTAGGGCAAGTTAAGAGTGCTAAAAGTTAGCAAGGAAGTGCTAATTAGCTGAGTTATTAGCACAATATCAAATAATATTCAGCATTGTACAGTAATTATAGTTTAATAAGGAAAAACAAAATGCAGAAGCTGACCTTGAATGATCTGACATGATTATGAATCTGTATGAGGATATTGGTTTGAGAAAAATAAAATAAGCTACACAAAATTAGCTCGGTTTAAAATTGATGCACAGTTTCAGTTCCTCCATGTTTTCTCTCCCTAAACAAAATATCCACAAATTCAGATGGTTTTGTTAACATCTGACTGTGAGATGTGACATCACATCACTGTCAGATGTGATGTCAACTGTTCTCCATTAACAGATGATTTTAATTTGTATTTTTAAGACTTGGTTTGTCTGTGATTATCATTTTGATTGGAACAAATCCTTCTGGGTATTGATCATCCTTTAAAGTCTCATTTCAAACAACAAATAATGTGAATAAATTATAAAATATGTTCCTCCGGAAAACACAGTTTTATGGTGAAATCTATATGGTCCAAAGAAACACAATTTGCACAATATGCCTTTATATATTACATTTATAGCGCCACTACTTTTTATTCCCTTGTTTTATGAATTCCTGTTTGATATTGATTTTCTCACAGAAGTCGTTTGTTTTTTTAATTCTCCTTTTAGACCTGTCAAAGGAAAAAGGCATTTAAATAATTCTCTTTTGTGACTAAGCTTGTGGTTTTATAAAGACCAGCCTCCACATTTACAAACCATCAAAAAGGCGGAGTGACGGCGCCGATAACAGATTGGGGCTTGTTTCGGAGCACCGCGCCTGAGGTTATTGCATTCCTCCGTCTCTGTAAATTTCTCTGCACCGAGCGTTAAGCCCTGAATCGTAATAACCTGCGCCAGATAATCATTCACAATCACAGAACTACAAGCCGGGGTGGAAGAGAGGAGAGTAATGGCGTCAGTCGGGACAAAAAATGCTGAAACAGGAAAAACAAAGTTGTGTGTTCGAGCAGGAAGGTGAAACTTGGAGTTTATTAGAAAATATTTCTGTTATGCAACACTGACCTCCAGTTACCTTCGTTTTTTTTTTTTTTCATTACTTTGAATAATCCTGGTGGCGTGATCAGATTTCTGCACAGTCTGTGATGCAATGCAAACAAACACTGTGCAGAAAATTAGAGGAGGAGACTAAATGTTAATATTTACTGTGTTTTATATGAGGAAACGCCAACATGCAAATTATTCTTCCAGCTGCTTTATTTGCTTCCTTCCAAAAGGAGTCTCTTGTTTTGGCTGCTGTTGCTTCTGTTTTTATGTATAAAACAGTTCATTTTTTTTGAAACAATTGTTTCTCTTCCATTGTTTTGACTTTAACATTGACACAGCCTGTAAATTTATTTGCAGTAAACATGGATGTTGCTACAGTATTTGTCCTGTTTCTGATTTGTGTTATTTTATTAGACTTCAAAGTTTCAGATCATAAAACAAATGTAAATATAAAACCAGGAAAACCCCAGGAAGTTTTCAGACTCAACACAGACCTGATCTCCTTCAAGGTCAGATATCTGGGTATACTTGAAATACGACAAAACTGACTTAAAAGTAACTTATCACCAGTAATTATGCTTGTTTTTTAGTGAATAATTTCTTAATATTAATGAAATTGTTTATTTGATTGTTTGACTTTATTGGGTAAAATATCTTGTTGTTGGTGAAATGGCCTGGCAGTGCGCTGTGGAAGAGCTTGGTCGCTTCTTCTTCAGAAAATCTGAATCAGGACTGGCCGTGTTGGGGTCATGTCATGTCTGCAACCTAAAATCCGCCCACAGCGAGCTGGTTGCCCTCCAACTGGGCTATTTTAAAGCTCTTGGCTTCGCTGCTCTTCGTGTCCTGACGATGTTCCGGCCTTAATCAGAAGGATTTCAACCAGCAGCTGCAGTAACCTGCTGTCTCCTGCCTGATAAATACATCATATCCACATTAGAAAGGGTTTTATGCAGTGGGCAGAGGGGAACCGCGCACACCTCCAAATTGCACCAGGGCTGGAATGTGCTGATTCCTGGGAGATGGAAGGATGTTGTTTCATTTAAAGGGGAAATATGATGCAAAATTCACATTTTGCACAACTTGGTTCTTCCATTTGTGTTTCTTCTGCTTCTAACAACAACATAAGAGTTAAAAAAAATCCAACCGTTCCCAAGCTGTTTTTTGGGGGTCTGAAAAATGAACAGTTTCAAAAACCTCTAGATTGTTGAGTCGTTACCTAGCAACCCAGTTTAACTCCAGCATGACTGATCAGCAGGTTTTACCGTTGTATGCCCCGTACAATGGCTGCTGGAAAGGACAAGTGTTTTCCTGTCGTCTTACCATCCAGAAACCACTTGTTGCATTCTTGTTGATTGTGCAGAAGGTTCTACTTCTGCTTTTCACATATGTACTGTTGTGTAATTGCACATCTGCAACCATTTTCACTTGCAAATTTAAACATTGATGACCTGTTATGCTCCCTTGAACAGGTTAGGATAGGTTTGTGAGTTATATAGAACATGTTCATAATTTTTTTTGCATAAAGTCATTCTTACAATGAGAGTTTCAGCCAGTTCAGTTCTGCCAACTTTGAGCTGTTTTAGGACGTCCTGTCACTTTAAATTCAAAGGTGCTGCTGCTGCTGGCCATGCCCCCAACTTTTACGTAAAAATGGCTGCCAACAGATGCGCAATTACACAATTGCACATCTTCAAAAAGCAGAAGTGGGGCCTCCTGCACCACCAACCAACAAGATTATAGCAAATGGTTTTCTTGAAGGAATGTCAACAATAAAATACTCTTCTTTTCCAGCAGCCATTGTGCTTTTTACTCTTAAAGTAATTTTATTATGAAGTATTTTTACTCTTACTTGAATAAAATTTCTGGATTCTCTGCCCACTAAATGAAAAGCAGAAGTGGAGCCTTCTGCACAACCAACATGAATGTAAGTCGACAATAAAACATTTGTCCTTTCCAGTAGCCTTTGTGCAGCAGTAAAACCAGCTGACCAAATGTGTTGGAGTTAAACTTGGGTTGCTAGGTAACGGTGCAGTGCCTGTGGATTGTGAGGTTTATGAAACTGGTCATTTTCCAGGCACCAGAGCACATCAACTCATTTCCATAAAACAACTGGGTGTTTTTTGTTTTTCTTTTTTAGAAGCAGTAGGGACAAAACTGGAAGAAAAAAAAATGTGTAAAATATGAATTTGTCATAATAGGTTCCCTTTCGGTGGTGAAGTGACTTGTGTGCGGCCGATTCCAGGTTTAAATGCTTTCTGTAACTGTACCACGTCCCAGACGGAGAGGAGAAGCAGCTGCTGAGTCCTCTGCTATTTCCAGCGCTCTCCTCTTCCTTACCTACCCTCTCATTTTCCAAAACACTGCTTTTCCCGGCCGCTCTTACCTCCAGCGACGTTCCCGCCGTCCGAGGTTATGGCGAGCCACTAAATGAGCCGGCTCCCAGCCAACTCCACCAACCCTCTGCCATTTTCTCCTCCGTCAAAATGCCAGCCAGGCGTTTAATCTTCATCAGGACCCCCGACTCCACATTTAGATCTGCACGGATTTCAGCCTGAAACTATTCATAGAGAGTCACAAGATGCCTTTCAAGCCATTTATTTCCTCTGGATCTGACTTCCTGCTCCATGAATAAAACATGGCTGAATATAAATCATCAAGCAAATGATATCATTGAGACGCAGGAAGAGTTTAAAAATGTGAAACCGATTTTCTCCGTTGCAGCTAAGCAGATTGGATAATCCCTTTTTTTAGTTTAGGGGTTCACACAGGTGCAGATGTCAAAGGCCGCCTTTTTATTCCACCATAGAGAAAATTAAAGGACGAGGCAGCTATGAATTATTGAATATCCTCATCTCGGCTTCCTTTTTTAACTCCAGCCGGCTGATTTATTGCCTCCAACCCGACCGTGTTTCAGAGGAATGGATTTTCCTGGACAGATCGGTGCAGTGACTAACGGCCGTCTTTCTCTTTCAGTGGGCGAGTTTGTGAGTGACGTCCTGCTGGTTCCAGAGAAGTGCAAGTTCTTCCACAAGGAGCGCATGGACCTGTGCATCAGCCACCAGCAGTGGCACGCCGTGGCCAAGGAGGTGAGGACCGGATCTGCCGCAGGATTACCGCCGTCTGTACAAATTCCCTGGTCACGCTTTGGTTGGAGGAGACGTTTATACGGTTCTTACTGACTGAGTCTTAAACGTCTTGGTCAAAAATTCAGCAGGATTACACAATTAAATCCTTTCTAAGCATCTTCTAAGATGATTTTTGAAACGTTTGAACTGAATTAATATTTAGGACGGTTCATAAGAATCAGCGGTCAAGTTTTCTGACTGATCTTTAAAAAGATTCTGATTGTTTTTATCTGAAATGTGGCTGAAAATAGCAAGAAAGTCACTGAGTTGGTAAAAGTAGAGTGAATATTGTCACTACTTCAACTTATCTTTACTTTAAGTAAAGTAAAAAGTATCTGTCCATAAAATTGCTCGAGTGAAAAAGTATTTGATAAACAGCTTACTGAGTAACTGATCAAATTTAATATTATATAAAATTAAATGGAAATTTTGATATTTTCCAATTCAGTTTATTTCAGTAACTAAATTACATTTACTTGAGTAACTATTTTGAAAAAATAAATAAATAAACTTTCAGGAGTATTTTTACTACGCTGTGCTTTGAGTAATTTTATTATAAAGTATTTTTACTCTTATTTGAGTAAAATCTCTGGATTTTCTACACACTGAATGAAAAACAAACATGTTTGAACCAAGAATTCACCAGATGCAGACTTGCAGTTTCTGTTAAAGTTTCATAAGTTTTTTATTGGAAATTATTTCTTTTGTCTCATTTTGTTAGTTTTTGTTTCTTATCTGAATTATTGTAATTTTGGTCCTTAAAATACCAAAATCTCCACTTAACTTTATATGTTGACTGTGAAATTTTTAAATTACTGATATTTTTTACCAAATACCTTTTTATTATTACTCTGCTCCCATCTTGCATTAGAAACTAGACTAAAATTACTTTGTAAGACTTTATGGTTTTTTTTAATGAAGATTATGCCAAATATTTGATCTCAAGCCCAGTAAATCCTTAAAAACATCCATAATACGGTTATTTAAAAAAATATATTCCCTCCTCCTCTGTGCGTGTGTTTGATCAGACATCCTCACATTTCAGCCTATAATCAGATTAGCGCTGCGGCTGCTAATCCCCCTCAGGAGGCTGCAGAGTTAGTTTGACCGTAACTGAAGCTCTCCTCAAACATTTCCTCACCTTCTAGATTCTCCATTTCCTTCTGCGCTGTGGACGTCTAATGCAAACTGTCAGCCGATATGAAACGTTTCCAGTGGAGAAAATGTGAGAAACGTCTTGGAAAACAAAGGGTGTTGTTTCTCAAGCTGAGATGTTAAACGGGGCGGCTAATCCGTCTCTGCGCTGGTGGAGTTTCAAGCCGAGTTGGTATCCGATACCTTCCAGCTGCTGCAGGATGGAAGCGTTTGGGGAAAAGCAGGTCGCCTGCAGGACAGCGTGACTTTGGGAAAATGTGGAACGCCTCGCCCAAACTCTAAATTTTACCACAGTACAACCACAAACTTAAAAGTATTTCACTGGGATTTCCAACGAAATACCAACAGAAATTAGTTTCTCAGTGTGAACTAAAGACGCACAGATTAACTTTTTGTACTTCTGATATCTGAATTGATTTGAAACATTAAAACATAAATCTACTGAATTACAAACTTATTTGATAATTCATTTGATAGCTCTGCACCAACATAGCTCACTTAAATGCACCAATATTTTAATTTGTTTGGTAAAACTTGTAAAAACAACTTTGATTTGTCCAGTTAGTTAATTGGTAGTAAATCGACCAACTTAAAATAGATAATAAAGAAACTGAAACTGACAAAAAAGCAGGATGGCTACTTTACAAAAATAAAGTGCTACAAACTTTCTTTGAACTGGCCCAGAAAGTTAAATTAGAATTAGAATATAATGCAAAATAAATAATCAAACATAGAATTGGACTGAATAGATCTGCTGGATATCTGATCTGGAATCTTTTGTCAAATTCATGGGTTACGGATAAAACTATAGAAAATTTTCAAGCATGTTTATTAGATATATATAAAAATCCAGCATCCAGAGTTGGGAAATGTGTTTTTATTAGAGACTCAGCCAGAAGATCGGCGGCTGAGTTGGGCAAATACGCCAGCAGCTGATTAGCAGTACTCACTTTTCATTTTGCGTTTTTGCTAGTTTTGACAGCATTTAACATACTTAGCTGCTGCTAAATTGATTTTAATATAAACAGATCATTAATAAATTTGTAAATGAGGAGAGTCTCGCCGCATTTACGTTTGAGGTTTTTCTGTTTTTTTGTTTCACGTTTCATCAACTTACATGGAAGTTACAACCAAACACGTCAATATTCAGATTCTATCAGTGTTTAAAATTCCACTTAGCGCACTTAGCTTCCCCTAGCTAAGTTATAAAGCTGCTACTTCTCAACACATGATCCTTTTTATAAACTTTCAGTTGAATAAAGTTCAACATTTATGCTGAAGTTTTGGTTTTTGACTGTTGAGAATTTTTCAAGTTGTCATATGTTTATGGTCATGCTCTTATTTTGAAGTGAGAAAAGACTGTTTATATAGCAGTTCTGTCTCCTGTCTGCATGTTCTGTTTTATTTCCACCCAATGACTTTATGTCACTGGTTTTACAAAAGATAAATGTCAAAATTAAATTGGTAATTAAATTGTTTAAATTAAATTGTTCTTTCAAGGGCAGATGGAATTTGAATTAGTGCTTTAGCATTAGCGTCCATTGAAAACTATGTTTGTTTAGCGCTTTAGCGTGAGCAGAGCTAATGTTTATGATTGGTGTGTTAGGGTTAGCGCAGCTAGCTTTTTAGGCGGCGGTGCTCAGCTGTGGTACTCGGGTGGGAGAATCTGCTGACAGGAAGCTGCTTTGTGTGACCCTGTCAGGCCTGCTCCAGGAGCTCCATGGTACTCCATAGCTACGGCATGCTGCTGCCCTGCGACATCGACAAGTTCCACGGCACTGAGTACGTCTGCTGCCCCGCCTCCCGCTTCGCAGAGTCCGCCGCCCCGGCCCTGCCCTCCCAGGAGGAAGATGATGACGAAGACGAGCACGTGGAGGATGAGGACGTTGCACTGGGTGATGGTGAGCCTCTGGAGGAAAGGTGAGCAGATCTTTGAAACTTCCTGCAACAAGAGAAACCTTCTGGTTGTATTGTGTGAGTTTAGTCTATTTATTTCTTAGTATTTTCTCACCTGATTATTCAGTAGATTTGGTTCGTTTGGGGGGCAAATTTACAACATTTATTACATTTTCAGATGCTGCGACCCAAACCCTTTGAAACACCTGTTCCCCTCCTCGCCTGTGGGGGCGCTGCACTTATAACCACTGAAGGAACCAACTTGAAAACCTCTGTAGAAGTCACTGAGTGGCATCGGATTTTAGCAGTTTTAGGATTTCAACAAGCCATTTCTCCTGCTAGTGTTACACTCATGCATTTGGTTTGGTTGTATTTACCCACAATGCCCTGTGCTGTAGTCCACTTCCTGTTTGTTTTTTTCACATGTGTTCTCTTAAAACAAAGAATGAGGTTTGTAGGTGGACTAGAGTTCACTTTTTTTGTTTGCATCAGAGTTCGGTTCACACCTCACCAAGTGAGCCAGACTGCTCCAAAACCAGGAAGTGGTCTGCAGCCCAGGGCATTCTGGGTAAATACAACCAAAACAAAAGAGTCTAGTGCCACCAGAATACATTTTATCAAAGACAAAAAAGAAATCCTACAACCACTAAAATTTGATGCTACTCTATTTTTGTTCACGTTTTATGAAGCAGGAAGTTGCGCTCAGTTTCTTCTTCAGAGGTTTTTTGTGTCGTTTCCTTCAGTGGGTTTTTGTGCAGAGCCCCCGGCGGCCAGGAGGGGAACAAGTTTTTTACTTCTTCTGTATCGTTAGACAGAGAGCAGTGTGAAAGTGAACCGCAGCAGCTGAAAATGTAATAAATGTTGCAACTTTGGTCCCTAATAGAACCAAGTCTACCAGACTATCAGGTGTGAAAACTCTCTGACTCAGGGATTCTTTCATCCAGTTCTCAAAAGCTACGTTTAGGTAGCTGATGCTACTTTTCCGCAACACCTGAGTCAAATGAACAGCTCAACACCAGTTCTCTGCAGAGTTGAATGATCTGCGGATGAGGAAATTCATCCATTTTATTCAGATCTGTTGGAGCATCTAAAACTTAAAGTGTTGCAGCTCTTGAGGACAGAACCGGAGCACCTCTGCTCTAAATCATTTACTTCCCCTGTTGCAACCTCTCCAGGTTGTTTTCTCTCAGCTCAAGGATGTAAAGGCTTCCAGACTACTTGTACAAACATTTTTTTAACGAACGGGTTGCTCTCAGGAGCTCAGTGAATTCAAGCACGGCAGTGTGAGAGGATGCCACCTGTGCAGCAAGTCGAAACATTCGGCGATCAACTGTTAGTGGTATCAGCAAACAGGAACAACAGAAACTCAGTCAAGGAGAAATAATGGCGAGCTAAAGCATGCTGAGCTGCTCAGTGTGCAGAAATCAGCTGTACCAGCCAGACAAAGAAAAGCTTTTTAATTACTGCTCCACATATATTGCTTCTTCAGCAAATAGCCTTATTTATGAGTTTGTATACTCTAATTAGCTGTCAATCAAATACTAAATCAGTTGGAGATTATCTCAATAATAGGAAGATGCAATTTTATATTTTGTAGATTTGATCTAAAGAAGTATGTTTTTTCTTTTCTTTTTTAAATTGGATTAATCAATTTTTCATTTAACCACTTTGGTATGTTAGAAATACATTAAGAAGTGTAAATAAGCAAATAATTAAAGTCCTTTTTATAAGAAGAAAATAAACATTTTATTGCCTGAGAGGGAAAAATACAGCATTCCTTTAGGAAAACTGAACGAAATAGTTGACAATTATTTCAATAATCTATGAATCATGATTAATCGTTTCAGCCTTGAATCACGATTTTAAAAAAAGTGATATGATGAAAGATGCAATAAATCCCCACCACAACATTTCTGACAGTTTTTACCAAGTGTAATGGTTAACAGGAGGAAGAACTGAAGTTCAAGCAAACAGATTGAAGTTTTTCCATTCAAACGCAATATTAATGTGTTTACTGGTCAGTTTAGGCCATATTTCTAATACTGAAAGGCCTCTTTTCTAAAATATAAGGTTTTTGGAAATTTTTTTACATGTACGTTACCTGTAATATTAAGTTTTATATTCTTTTTCATAGGACACAAACTTATGTGCAAAATGCCAGACGCAAAACAAAATAACCAGCTGTAGTTTTTACTGGTAATTATTGTTTTTACAGGTTTTTTTGAAAGAACAGTAATTTAGCAGAACTGGTCATTTAAGACAACTGAAAATCTGAATTGTCAGGAACAAACAGTAAACATGTCAAGGATGGATTGTAAATTACTTAAAGCAAGTTTATTTCAGGAGACTGCATCCTTCCACCCAGAAAGTCATTTGGTATGAGATGTTTTACATTTTTACATGGATAATAAGCATATTTTATATATGTAGGTGCACTGTGCCACCGCAAAGGGGAAAATAACACAAAAAAAGTCTTGAAGAACAACAAAAAGACACTTTTTCTCGCTCTCTGTGTTGGCTGCGCTACACTTAGACCCATATCCATGGAAACTGACAACAGCGCCACTTTACCTATCAGAAAATATAGTCAAACATTTCCCTCACAAAGGACAGAACATTCAAGCCACCACAGTTTTGTTTTTAGCCTTGATGTTTATTTCTCTTTATTATTAAGTGATCGCTATGGTAGATTAGCTACGGCTGCTATTAGCTAAGCTAACACAGTGGTGGTAGAGCAGCTAATTCAAACACTTTCTCTACAGATTATTTGTCAGAGTTGGTGTTTAGGCTGCCTTTTTCGTTTTTTTAACTGAACGAAAACAGATTTCCACATCACATCTATAAGTTACGGTTGTCATAGTCAAGCTAGCATAGCTGACCTACTTCCCTCTCCTTTGCTATTTTATTCAAAACTTTTTCCTGACCTTGTCGTCTAGTCATCATAGCGTAGCAAAGTACACTTTTCTTTTTTTATATATCGGGTGTCCATTAAGATTTAGTGTTAAGTTGACAACTTAAAAGCTAAAACCAATGCTAATTGATGTTAGCTAGCAGTTTGTTGCCTTCCTGTAAGGGATCCATATGTTAAAGGTTTTAATGCAGCTGCAGGTCATGCTTCTGAAAAAAAAGACAGATTTATGTTGTTTTTAAATGCAAATTAAAATTTGTTTCTAGCTAACTGCACAAGTCTCTGTTGTGCTTAAACACAACACCCTGTGTTTATACAAAAATACTGGCTGAGGTCGGTGGGATCGTTGATATGAGGTACCATTAAATGTATTTTAAAAAGGTTTTGTTGTAAAAGGAAGGTATGCGTCAATGTTTTGGAAGAAGGCACTAATTGTCTTATGTCATCTTTCTCATTTCAGTGTGACTAAAGCTAATAAGGAACCAATTCAGAAGGAAGACGTTGTGGACGAAGATGAAGATGAGGAGGAGGAGGAGGAGGAGGAGGAGGACGATGAGGACGAGTACCGCGACGTCTTCGAGGATGAAGAGGCAAAAATGAACGCAGAGGAAGAAGAAGAAGCAGCAGAAGAAGAAAAAGAAGAAAGCAGCAAACTACCAAAGAAAATTAAACAGAGCCAATCTCCTTTTCATGAGGGTGAGTAATATTTTCTTTAGTAATATATTACTCTGCATTCAAATTATTAGAAATATTATTATTTACTTCAATTTACAACTCATCAGCATCCAGATCATTTTATTTAAGGGTCATCTCACCTTAAAGTCGCCACGCTGTTCATAGCACTCCTGCAAAAAACTTTAGAAATCAATCAGGTATTGTGGAGATTAACTATCGGATCAGGAAAAACCATGTTAGTAATCAATTATTGTTTTGATTATTCAGACGATTAATCGATTAAACTGTTTTTTAAAAATGGCAGGTACTACAGATTTTTTAAATATATTTTTAAATATATATGTATATAAATAAATATATTTTTTGTACAGTTTTAGCTTTTAGATTTTTTTGTTTTTTTCCCGTCAGTGTGTGTACTCAGATTAACGATTAATCGTTTCAGTCGTGGGCTCTATCTGCTCCTTACCGAGTGAGACGGGTACCTGTCGCGCATACTTTCCTCGATGGTACTTCGACACGGAGAAGCGCAGCTGTCAGCCATTTGTGTACGGTGGTTGCCGCGGCAACCCAAACAATTTCCTAACATGGCTTGAATGCGTCAACATATGCGTTCTCAAAAGTAAGTCTGATGTGACAGAGGCCTGCGTGGCTGAGCCGTCCGCTCTCTGCCCGCCGGCCTGAAAATCGATCAGCACCGCTTTGATTGAGCTTTTCTCCAATTAAGCGAAACCTCTTCACCGCTGAAATCATCTCACAATTTTATTTTGATTTATCTTCACTTGCCTGTCGTGACTTAAAGGGAACCTGTTTTGCAAAATTCACATTTTATATGTTTGTTGTCCTTCCATTTTGTCTTTACTGCTTCTAAAAATAGCCCAAGCACTTAACACCCAAAAAAAAAAAAAAAAAAAAACATCTTTTTTTTTTTTTTTGGCAATAATTTTATGCCAAAACAATGAAATTATTTCAGAAACCTCCAGATTACTGAGTTACAATGCTTTGTTACCTAGCAACCCAAGTTGAGCTCCAGAACCTTTGTTCAGCAGGTTTTTCTGCAGGACGCAAAATACAATGGCTGCTGGAAAACACAAGTGTCTTGTTGTTGGCTCATCATCCAGAAACCTCTTGCTGCATTCTTTTTTAGCTGTGCAGGAGGCTCCACTAATGCTTTTCAAAGGTGAAGGATTGTATTAATTACACTTCTGTTTGCAGCCAGTTTCACGTTAATTTGTGGGCGTGGCCAGCAGCAGATTGTTTGGATTTAAAGTGACAGGATGCTCAAAGCAGGCAGAACTAAGCAGACTAAAATATTTGTGCAAAAAAAAAAGTTATGAATATGTTTTGTATAGGCCATAGCTCTATCCTAAGCTATTGAAGGTCACTTTTAAAGCCCAAAGTCTAACAAAAATAACTTAACAACTAAAAATGATTTCAGATTAATCAGTTCATGTTTTTCATAAAATACTGCTTTGTATTTTGCTCCTTTTTTCTAAACAGTTTAATGTCTGTATATAAATAAATGTCATGAGGACAAGTTGAAAAGAGATGAAACTTTCCTACATTAGGAAATTATTTGTTTAGATTATTTTAAAGAAAAATATAATTTATATTTGACTAATTATATATAGTAATAATAATAATAATAATATAATTAGTCAGTGACTGTTTGTCTTCTGTTATTGATGCTGTTTTTCCAGCTGGTAGAAAAAACCTAGAAGAAAAAAACGTTATTTTTTGTGTGGAAATGCCAGAACTCTGTTCCCGTTGCTCATCGGGTCACAGCTTGATATTAACAATGTTTTTCTTTTTCTGCTTTTATTCCGTGCGTGCACGCTCATGTTTCTGTCTCCATATTTGTGCTTGACGTTTCTTCATGCTTCTTCGTTCGTCTTCCCACAGAGTTTATTTTGAGAAACCCGGCAGGATGTTTTTGTTTTGTTGTTTTTTATTGTCTCGGAGATTCGCTTCCATCATCCAGGAACCTTTCCAACTGGATTTCCTGACATTAAAAAAAAAAAAACCCAGGCTAACATAAGGAGATGAAGTCGGAGCAGGAAGCTGGAGTTTGTCTTTGTTTTGATGCTGCAGCGGCATGATAAGGTTTCCCTCCTGCTGCTTTGTAGACTCCTAGTTAGACGATTCAGTGAGGAAACTAAAAAAAATAAAAACTAAAACAGGCCACCCGGTTTCACCCAGCTGTCAAACATGGAGTCAAACCTGTCAGCTGAAAGCCGAGGAGGGAAAATTGAAACGGAAAGACTGTCAGATTCCCTCAGATATCTGAGCCTCGCTGTGGGAAGAGGAACAAACCTTCGAGTAACAAACCTTCCTCCTGTTCCAGCTCCTTTCTCTCCTGCTGCGCCTCGACTCTTTGTCTCTTTTCATTTGATCGTCTCACTAATTCCTACTTTACTTTTATAGTCTTTGAGCCTGCGGCCTGGTCCGACGATGTGGACGTCTACTTCGAGACGCCGGCGGACGACAAGGAGCACGGCCGCTTCCAGAAAGCCAAGGAGCAGCTGGAGGTCCGGCACCGGAACCGCATGGAGAGGGTGAGCGGCCAGAATCTGCTCCTCTTATTCTCTAGTTACATTCACTTGAGTAACTTTTTTGGAAAAAAAATATTTTTAGGGGTAATTTTACTTTTACTCGAGTACTTTTATCATGAAGTTCTTCTACTTGAGTAAAATGTTTAGATTTTTCTACCCACTGAATGAAAAACAAAACAAACACACACCTGCAGCTTTTATTAAAGTTTCATTTAAAGAAACTGATTTGGAAACATTATTTGCCTGATTTTGTTATTTTTTGTTACTTACATGAATTATTGTCATTTTGGTCCAAATTTTCCACTTAACTTTGTATTTTGATGTATTTTAAATATGAAATGGCTGATAATTTAATCAGTTACTTCTACCAAATATTTTTTTACTCTTATTTGACTAATTTCTTGGATGACTACTTTTTACTTTTACTTGAGTAATGTTGAAGTATTTTTGGCCCTGGATAAATTACAGTGGCACATTGTGATTTCAGCCGGTTTATACCAGGTTTTGGTCCGATAGTTTACTACGTCGTGGTGTTTTTTGTTCTTTTCACCTGGAGAAAAGTTAAATTGTTGTCCTGTTTGTCTCTTGCAGGTAAGGAAAGAATGGGAAGAGGCAGATCGGCAGGCCAGGAACATTCCCCGGGCGGAGAGACAGACCCTGGTCCAGGTAAACCCTGGTCTCTTTGTTTGGAAGAGACTCAACAGGCCTGTAATCATCCTTGTCTCCAGCTGCTCTATCTTTACTCGTCCGAGTCTGAATTAGGACAGAAATGAGTCTCCCTGGAGGACAGAAACTGAGACCTACATTTTTATTTCCTCAATAAAAATAAAACGAGTGCCACTCTGCGTCGTTTTGTTTTCAGCACTTCCAGGCGATGGTGGAGTCGCTGGAGGAGGAGGCAGCCAGCGAGAAGCAGCAGCTGGTGGAGACTCACCTGGCCCGGGTGGAGGCCATGCTGAACGACCGCCGCCGCGTCGCCCTGGAGAACTACCTGGCCGCCCTGCAGGCCGACCCCCCCAGGGTCGGTGCAGATCCACTAATTACCACCATTAATGACACAACGACAAGTTTTAAAGCTACATTTATCAGAGTAAAAGTCTTAATTTTGAGTTTAAAAGTCACATTTACAAGAGTAAAAATCTTAATTTCTTTTCATAAAGTCGTATTTATGAGACTAAGTATCATAATTTCAACTTTCTAGGGTTATGATTATGAGACTATAAAATTCGCTGGAGCAAACCTGCTTCTCTCATAATTAATATTTTAAAACACTTCATGACTTTTTGTTGGACTTTTATTTTTTTTTATGGCAGTAATGGACTTCCATAGATATCTGAGTGAGAGCAGTGATTTTATCCAGATTTGCGGTCGGTTGTTTTAAGTATTTGTTGCCGGCTTTCAGCTCATCTTCCTGTTTCTTAGCATGAGCTCAGACCAGGCTTTGGGTTCAGGAAGTGGGAAGCTGGTTCTGATGGTGTTGGCCCGTCGCTCTGTGTCTGTTTCAGCCTCACCGCATCATGCAAGCGCTGAAGAAGTACGTCCGCGCTGAGAACAAGGACCGGCAGCACACCGTGCGCCACTACCAGCACGTCTTGGCGGTGGACCCAGAGAAAGCCGCGCAGATGAAGTCTCAGGTCGGTGTTTCCATCCTGCTGGCCGTCGCTAACGGCAATGCCAAAATGGCCGATTCTGAGCGTCGGGTTTCATCATGAGGAGAAATTTAGTGTGACGTTTTTGAGATCTCGCTGTGAGGAGGAAAAGCAACCAAACAGATCCAAACGGATCCAAACAGAACCAAACAGAACCAAACGGAGCTTCAGTTGGTTTCACTCTAATGGTGATCAACACAAAGTTTATCCTCAACATTCAGCAGGAACCATCCATCCATCCATCATTCCATCCATCCATCCATCCATCCAACCAACCATCCACCCAACCATCCATCCATCCATCCATCCATCCATCCATCCATCCATCCATCCATCCATCCATCCATCCATCCATCCATCCATCCATCCATCCAACCAGAGGTTGGGTGGATGGGGGTAGAAAAATCTAAACATTTTACTCAAGTAGAAGAACTTCATGATAAAAGTACTCAAGTAAAAGTATGGATCCATCCATCCATCCATCCATCCATCCATCCATCCACCCATCCACCCAACCATCCATCCATCCATCCATCCATCCACCCATCCACCCAACCATCCATCCATCCACCCATCCACCCAACCATCCATCCATCCATCCATCCATCCATCCATCCACCCATCCACCCATCCACCCATCCACCCAACCATCCATCCATCCATCCACCCATCCACCCAACCACCCATCCACCCATCCATCCATCCCATCCATCCATCCATCCACCATCCATCCACCCAACCATCCACCCAACCATCCATCCATCCACCCAACCATCCATCCATCCATCCACCCATCCACCCAACCATCCATCCATCCATCCATCCACCCAACCATCCATCCATCCATCCACCCATCCATCCATCCACCCAACCATCCATCCATCCATCCATCCACCCATCCATCCACCATCCATCCACCCAACCATCCATCCATCCATCCACCCAACCATCCATCCATCCATCCACCCATCCATCCATCCATCCATCCACCATCCATCCATCCACCCAACCATCCACCCATCCATCCATCCATCCACCCACCCAACCATCCATCCATCCACCCAACCATCCACCCAACCATCCATCCATCCATCCATCCATCCATCCATCCATCCACCCAACCATCCATCCATCCACCCATCCACCCAACCATCCATCCATCCATCCACCCAACCATCCATCCATCCATCCACCCATCCACCAACCATCCATCCATCCATCCACCCATCCATCCATCCATCCACCCATCCATCCATCCATCCATCCATCCACCCAACCATCCACCCATCCATCCATCCATCCACCCAACCATCCATCCATCCATCCATCCATCCATCCATCCACCCATCCATCCACCCATCCATCCATCCATCCATCCACCCATCCATCCATCCATCCATCCATCCATCCATCCATCCATCCATCCATCCACCCATCCACCCAACCATCCATCCATCCACCCATCCACCCAACCATCCATCCATCCATCCATCCATCCACCCATCCACCCAACCATCCATCCATCCATCCATCCATCCACCCATCCACCCAACCATCCATCCACCCAACCATCCACCCAACCATCCATCCATCCACCCAACCATCCATCCATCCACCCAACCATCCATCCATCCACCCATCCACACATCCATCCACCATCCATCCATCCACCCATCCACCCATCCATCCATCCATCCACCCAACCATCCACCCATCCATCCATCCATCCATCCATCCATCCATCCATCCATCCATCCATCCATCCATCCATCCATCCGTCCAACCATCCATCCATCCATCCATCCATCCATCCATCCATCCATCCATCCATCCATCCATCCATCCACCCAACCATCCATCCATCCATCCATCCATCCATCCATCCATCCATCCATCCATCCATCCGTCCATCCATCCATCCATCATGAACTTCTTTATTTAATCTTAATCCTCAAACTGTGTTGTAGTCGTAACTAAAATATCTCCTGTTACATCTGGAAACATGTGGTGAATCTGTCTTCCCCCTCTTCCTCTTCCCACTTTTCTTCCTCCTCTTCCTCCTGCTGCTCTGACAGACCAGAGATAATGATTTCTCAGCCTGCTCCTCTCTGCCCTGTTTGTAAGTGTGTGGGCGGCAGAGAGAGCAGAGAGTGTTTCATTCACTCCAGCCTGAGCTGCAGATTAACACGCCGCAGCGAACGGCGCCGGACCCTGACCCACTGGCGCTGGGATCGGGTCGAACTCTCCTTCACTGGATTCAGATCTCTGAGTCTGCAAATGGACGAAGCCACACAGTCACAGGGAATATTGGCATAAAAGATTTCCTTCTCTGTCATTATTTCAACTCATAATCCAGGATAATCTGTTCTTTATTCCACCTTAACTTCCAGTTCTTAATAACTTTGAACATCTGGAGTCAGTGCGGTTGCTTAATGCATCAGTTTCTCTCTGAGATGTGAAATCCCTCACGATGAGGATTGTTTGCCAGGAATGAGCCGCAGACGCTGCAGCGTGTTGCTGACGGTGCTTTACTGCCACCTGTTGGCCACTGGAGGTAAACAGCAAAGGTCTGAGGAGGACGACGGTTTGATTCCCCGGCAGAAATCAGACGCAAAGATTTCTTATCATTTTCGGGAAAAATTAGACGTTGCTGTGAGCTGAAGCAGCTGGATGGAGATGTAGGGAGAGAGATTGTTTCTTTCAATTCAATGTTTTGAGTTCACAAAGTGAAACCAGTTCTTCCTCATTAGGTCAGAGGTCAGGCGTCTGGGTCAGACTTCCTGAATCCTGGAGGCTCCAAAAAACAATTTCAATTTCATTCTATTTCCCCTCAGATGCCGCCATGGTAGCAATAAATTACCAGCTCATCCATCCATCCATCCATCCATCCATCCATCCATCCATCCATCCATCCATCCATCCATCCATCCATCCATCATTTCATCCATCCATCCATCCATCCAGTTCAACTGAAATTAACAAAAAATTAAATATTTGTATGTAAATTTTAAATTCTGATTGAATTTCCTGCAGGAGTAGTTGGTGTGTTTGTTTTTGTTTTGTTTTTTTATTTTGATGAGCAGCCTTTTAAACACTGCAAATACACAAAACCTTAAGATTTTAAAAGTAACTTTCGGGAAGATATAGCAGTTTATTTTAAATAAATAATTTCTTAATAGTCATGAAAATGTTCTGGTTTCACTGGCAGATTTTTTTTCACTTATTGCAGAAAAAAAAATTGTTACAAGTGAAATTATTTTTTCCTCAACATTAAGGAATTATTTACGTAAAACAAGCTTTAAATGTTGTTGAAAAGTTTCTTGTAAGTTAGCTTTGTCCTATTTTAAGTAATAAAATATTTGCACTACAAACTCGACCAAAAAAAATTTAATTAATGCCTGATTTAGATACATTAATGAAATCCTCTTTACCTGGTTTTATATTTTGATTTGATTTAAGATGAATAGTCCATGTGAATTAAATGATAAGAGTGACTGGAAAGGCCGTAGGTTGTTGTTGTTCTGCTGGCTTACCGCTTCGTTTTTCTGCCTTCTTGATGTCAGGTGATGACACACCTGCGGGTGATCGAGGAGAGGATGAACCAGAGTCTCTCTCTGCTCTACAAAGTTCCCTACGTGGCCGAGGAGCTGCAGGATGAAATCGGTGAGTCACGGGGAATGACGGATAAATCCAGCTCGTTTCGTTTTTCCCCGCCTTTTATTTCCTTCTGGAGACTCTCGAAAAATGAAAAACAAGTATGGTCGGTTTCAATGTCTGGCTACGACCCAATTATTCAGACACACGTTGTCCTATCTTCAGCTCCTGGTGAAAATTTTAACAAAACTGCCTCTCTTTTTGTCACACTTAGCTATTCATCCCAGTTTTGGGATTTTAAAATGTTCTTCTGTTTTCTCTGCTTGGTTTGAAAGGAAACGTGGTGTGAAGTTGAAGCATAAATTAAAGTTGAGTTGCTGTAATGACAGAACTGGGTCGCAGCTTTCACCGTGGCGCGTTCGTCTGAGATCTACAGAGCAGAGTTATGAGAGAACCAGCTTTCAGAGAAATGCTAATTGGTAGTTAGCAGAAACAGAAACTGTTGCCGTTCTTAGAAAATGAGAAAGCAGGAAGAGGTGTTTTATAAACCGCTAGGTTTATAAACTCTCATCAGAAGCAGATATTCTGCAAAAAACACAAATTTTACCAAGTTTTTGGTCTAGTTTTTAGTGTAAACATCTTAGTACACTTAAAAAAATGACAAAACTAAATTAAAAGTAACTTTTCAACAAGATATAGTAGCTTGTTTCATGTCAATCACATTTGTAACTCAACTCTGCCTGAAGGTTAGCTTTGCCTTATTTCAAATGTACTGACATGTTTGCACTTGTAACTGGACCAAAAATACTTGATGAGTTTTTATGTTTTTGCAGTTTGAATGTTGTTTTGTGATTTTTCTTGCTCTGCAGACGACCTGCTCCAGGAGCAGAAGGCCGACATGGACCAGTTCCTGTCCTCCATCTCCGAATCGCAGCCTGACGTCACTGTGTCATCGGAGGAGAGCGTGGAGGTTCCAGTCCCCGAGGACAAACCGTACCGACCCATCCAGGTCACGTCTCTGGGGGCGCGCTCGGAGCCGGAAGGTACAGCACAACACGGCACCCACTGAAGTGTTTCCAAGCAAAACCTTTAAAGGTGACCTATTGCTATAAATTCAAATCAGCTGCTAACCACATCCCCCAAAGCAACACTTACACTCACCCTTAAAAATGGCTGCAAACGGATGCACAAATATACAACTTTACATCTTTGAAAAGCATTAGTAGAGCCTCCTGCACAACCAAAAAGAATCCAGCAAGTGGTGGGTTCTTGCTGGAATCCACCATTTGCTGTAAAAAGATATATAGAGAGCGCATATATCTTTTTACAATGTTGAGAGTGTCGTCTCTTTTGTTGGGGTGACGGCATCAGAGCCAGGAACCAAAAAAAGCCTGATAAAGAAGGCTGGAACTGTTTTGGGGGGCGACTGCGGAAACACTGGGAATGATGACGCGAAGAAGGTTACATGACATCAATAAATCGATAATCCTCAACATCTGCTTCATGAGACTTTCATGGAAAAACAGCATCTCTGGTCAGAGGCCTCTTCAAATTCCCTGTAATACAGACTGCTACAGGAGATCTTTTTGTCAACAGCTATCACCGTCTACAAACACTCTGAAGAATTTTTAATTGAAATGAGACAGATTAAAGTAATCGTTTTCTGAATAGAAAACACTGACCTTCTTTTACGACAGTTTTGTTTTTTTAAAGTGATTTGGCTGTTTTCAGAAGCAGCAGAAACCCAAATGGAAGCATGAAAATGTGAATTTTGCTTAATAGATCCCATTTATCAGTGCTGCACTGTTCATATTAAACTGAGCTGCAGCCAATCACTTCAGGGGAAATGAAAGCCAAATTGGGGCCAACCAAAAGACTGAATCCTGAAGGAGAAGCAGAAAGGATGGATGGAATGTTTCCAGCAAAACGGGAGGCAAATTACAGTGAAACCCCAGAGGAGCATTTTGAGACGCGAGCCAGCGGCCCGGAGGGCTCAGTAAGGCGCGCCAACTCTGATTCTGGTTCTGATTCCCCCGTTTCTGCTCAGTCAGTTAACAGAGCTTGATAATCCTGCCGTTTCTCTTCTCACCTCAGTTTTCTCTCTTCTCTCCGTCCCGTTTTCTGATCTTCTGTTTTTCTGTTGCTCATTTCTAACGTCAAGGCGACCTATCAGACTCCCCACGTGCCTTCAAGAAAGGTGGGTGCCTCTGTTGCGTCTTGTTTTCCTCTCACCCAACTAAAACCATCCCCATTGTTTTCCTTTGCTTTTCCTCTCCTTTTCACCCTTTCTTACTGACCACCCCGGTTTCGTTGTTTATTTTCTTGTTTTCGTTCTTTTTTTTCTTCATCATATTTGGATTATCACCTCATGCTTTGTAGAAAAGCTGGTAGCTTTTACTCGGCAGTCTGTTGGCTCTCACCAGAATTATGGGTACTTTTCTCACCATCCGTCTAGTTTCCAATAGGAGCTGTGAAATGTAGCGTATACGCTGCTAAAACGCAAAATTTTTCCAAGTATTTTGTTTAGTTCTTAGTGCAAACTGAGAACACTTGAAATAAGGCAAAACCAACTTAAAGTAACTGTTTAGCAAGATATAGTAGCTTGTTTTAAGTCAGTAATTATTTAATATAATAATAGAAAGACTATTTCACTTACAACAAGACATTTTCCCATCTTACGACTGAAATAATCTGAAAGTGGAACCAGTCAATAACTATAAATTACTGACTTAAAACAAGCTGCTATATCTTGCTGTAAAGTTACGTGTACGTTTTATTTTACTATAAGTGCACTTAGTACTAGTATATTTCCACTAAAAACTAGACTTGGTAAGATTATGGTTTTTGCAATATGAAACTACAAAACCGCAAAATCTTAAGTATTTTTTTAAATCTAGTTTTTATTGTAAATATCTTAGTACACTTACAGCAAAACTACTAGTAACCTTTCAGCAAGAAATATGAGCTTGTTTTAAGTCAAAAATCTCTTATTTATTTTAAAAAAGTTTTAGTTCCATTGGCAGATTATTTAAATGTCTTATGAGTAAAATAATCTACCAGTGAAACTAGAACTTTTTCAAATTAATATTAATGAATTATTGATGAAAAACGAGCTCCTATATCTTACTGAAAAGTTGCTAGTCAGTTGTTTTTGTCTTATTTTAAATATTTGCCCGAAAAACCAGACTAAAAATACTTGATTAGATTGTGTGTTTTTGCAGTGTACATCTCCAAAACTCTCTGTTCACACAAAAATAAACTAAAAGATTTCTCCTTCAAAACCAGAGATTACAGTGTGTGGAGAAGTTTTAAATTGCCCCTATGCTGTAATCCTGAAACCTTAAGAGATTATAAGAACGTCCTGGAAAGGAAAACAGATTCCTATCATGGCTTGTGCAATATGACAGCTGTTTGCTGCTTTATTTTAAAGTGTTCATTTTCTCCGATGGAAACACAAAAAGGTGATAAAAAATCCGAAACACACAAACACAAAAAACAAATGCAACCCAAAACGCTCCAAAAATATCCACATCAACATCGGTATCAGCCGATATTAATATTTTAAACGTATCGGTCCGATAAATAAAATGAGGTAGATTTGAACAACCAGTATTTATTTTCATCTTGTTGCCTTCTGTTTCTGTTAATTTTTTTAAGTGTCATAATGGTAGAGAAATATTTATGATACAATGTACAAAATATCGGCATCGGTTATTTGCCATAACATTAATATCAGAAATTAATATCAACCCAAATTTTTGTATTTGTATAGATTTTTGCATCTCTAACAAAAACTTACAATCAACAAAATAAACGCTAAACAGAAGACCTCCAGGCCACTAGGGGGAGTCTATAGTAGGTAGAATTACCTCTGTAAATACGCTGCTGTTCCATAATGTTGTGAAAGACTTGAAAGACATGAATCTTTTCTTTCTTCCGTCCCGATAATCATGACATCCCGTCTTTACTGAGGTTCTCATTCCGTTCAACTTATTAGTTATTGGTTGTCTCTCCTTTGTGGCCTGAAGGACTTACGTTTTCCTGCGTGAATTTTTATTGTTTCATATTTGCGACATTTTCCCTTTTGCTTCTACTTCCCGTGGTTGCAAAATTTTCCACTTGCAGCATTTGTTGCATTTATTTTCTTTCATGTTTTGGGATTTGCATTATTCATGCGTTGGCACTTTTTGACCCCCGTATTTTTCACATTTTCCTGTGCTACAAGCAGAAAAATCTAAATATTTCATTGGCCAGTGCTCAAAGTGCATACTTATGGAGAAGAAGGAAAAATAAAGATCCTTTTATTAATATTTTGTTTTTAATACAAATTAAAACATTAAAGGTGTGGTATGAATTTGTATTTTGTGCCACTAACTCCGTCTGTTTGGATGGAGAGCAGCGGTGGACATCAATTTTTGTTTCTCACCAAGTTCTCACTTGTATTTACTCTAAACTTTGACAGATCCATTCTGACACACGAATATCCGTTGTAGCTCTGCCTGGTTGTTTATGGTTGTTGGTTGATTGTATTTAGCTTCATCCATGTGGACGAGCCTCACCGTGCGGTTGGTGTGCAGGGGGGACCTGCAGCGTTCCTGTGTTTCTATTCAGATTTTAAATCTCACATCGTCTGACATTCGCTAATTAGATTACTTTTGATGCAAATTTAGACTTTTTATTCTTTTTAAAACGAACAATTAGAGAGGTGTGATTACTCCCAGATAGTTTTACTATTAAGCTTTGGTTGCAGCCCTCATATTGATAAGTTTTTGTATTTATTGTAATTTGTCACTCTTCACTCTTTGAACAAAAAAAGATTGAATGCTGGTAATAATAAATTAAATCATTAAATTAATAAATACTTGTCACATTTTTCTACACATGGTGTTAATTGTTTAAAAAGCTGTGCTGCTCTGTAAGCAGAGCGCCGCTGCAGCCGCCTTTCATGCACACCCTGCAGGGACAGAATCTCCTCGGCTTATTGTCACGTCATTGTCTCATTTATTTCACATGAAGGTGTATTTACAGAAAAATGCATCTGTTGGCGAACGACAACGATTGTTAATGGAAAATTGCATGTGTCTGGTTTAAGAGGGCCTTTGTGGGAGAGCGCTGTCATGTTCACAGTCGTCTCTCTGTGCTGAATGGGAGAAAGGGTTTCGTTGTCACCAGCGCACCGAGGAGACTGATGCAACTGCTGTGACGAAACAATCTGCTCTCCACCAACATCACCACCCTTGTTGGTCTGTTTTGTTTTGTCCGTTTTCTACGTGTCACTGACCGATCCGGCTTTACCTCCACCAGGCTCCGCCATGGCTGGTCTGGACGGTCTGATCGGCGCCGAGGAGAGAGTCATCAACAGCAAGCCGAAGATGGGAGAAGACCTGGTGAGTGCCTGACGCTTCTGTGCAGCGTCTATTTTAATTATCGACTATTTTAATTATCAATTAATCGGTTGATTATTCTGACGATTAATCGATAATTGTTTTTTTTTTAAATGACACATTCTGCATATTTTTTATTTAGGCATTTTTATACAATATTAGAAAAACATGCAAATGTACAAATAATTTAATTCCTTTTTAAATAGGAAAGTAATCATCTTCCTACTTCAGTTAATGATTAATCGTTTACTAAATTAGTTGACGATTAAGTGTTTTAGTCCTAATTTAAATGTGTCATTTATTTATTAAAACTCGAAGGATTTTTCTTATCTTAATTTCAAAATGTATATATTTTCGTACAGTTTTGGCTTAATCACTTTCCTGGATATGATGGTTTTTCAGCGAATTGCTTTTTTTTTGAGTCTGTATTCTTCAGTTAATGATTAATCATTTACTAGATTAGTTGATGATTATTTCAATAATCGATTAATCACAATTAATTATTTCAGTCCTAATTTAACATATTTATTTAAATAAATACAAAATGTATACATGTTTTGGCTAAATTACAGCTCTGAGTGTGGTGGTTCGTTCAGCACCTGTGTGCACCACTTAATGATTAATTGATTATTTTAATAATAAATTCATCTGATTAATCGTTTAAGCCCTGCCTCAGTGACCTGAGAGCAGCTTTGTTGGGGATAAAGCCAAGGCTGTCTGTAGACAGGTTAATTTAATTCAGCGGAGACTGATTGAGATTAATGAAGCGACCCGGCGCTTTCTCTTAATTTCAGTTTCACTGTGACAGATGATAGTTACATCCGTCTCGCTTTGGGCTATTTGCGCGTCTGTGTGTGGCTTCCTCCAGCCGGCCTTCATGCAAATCGGCTCCACGCTCAGTTTGCCAGTCAGTGCATGGCACATTTCCTTGCCCAACTCGTCAGGCCTCCATGTTTGGCCTCTGAGTGTGTCTTGTGTTCTGCATGTCAAACCAACACTCAGCTACCAAGCTGCATGTTTGTGTGCATGGGTTTTCTGTCTTTTGTGGGGTAAGGCTGTTTTTCTGAGATAGAGCAACCTGGCAGTGAAATTATCTGATCAGAGTGAGACCTGAAAACATTTTCTTGAGTCAGATACAAAATCTGGATTGGTCTTTGTAGAAAATGTAGATTTTTTCTTGTTTCTATCTCCTAAAAGCATCGTCTTTACCCTGTAATTGTGGAGTGAGTAAATAGATGCTGATGGCCTGTTCACACAAGAAGAGTGAGTAAAATAATTTACAGTGGATATAAGGAATGCTAAACACCCTATTAAATGCTACATTTCAATATTGGCAGTTTTTTCACATTTAATTTGACCTAAGACCTGGAAATAAATGGATGGATGGCTGGATGGATGGATGGATGGATGGATGGATGGATGGATGGATGGATGGATGGATGGATGGATGGATGGATGGATGGATGGGTGGGTGGGTGGGTGGGTGGGTGGATGGATGGATGGATGGATGGATGGATGGATGGGTGGGTGGGTGGATGGATGGATGGATGGATGGATGGATGGATGGATGGATGGATGGACGGACGGACGGTCGGTCGGTCGGATAAAGATCTGACTGAAGGTGGAAAACCTCGAATAAATTGGCTTCCTGTTGGATGAAGGGTGTGTAAACTTTTACATCCACTGTATGTTATTAAAGCTGCTGCACTTTCTCTCAAACTCTCTATATCTCTTTCTCTCTCTCTTTCTTTCAGTTTGAACCAGAAAACTTCAAGCTTATCATCACTTTAACACTTTGCTGCACATCCACACTCTCTTGCTTTCCTGCCTCTCCATTCCTGTCTAACAAAAAGCCCAAATTATTCCTCTGAATTTCTTTCTTTCTTTCTCTCTCTCACACACAGACATGTTTTCGTATCTTGTGGGGACTTTACATTGACTTCCATTCATTTTCTATAGCCTACTCCTATTCCTACCACCAACCATCACATACTTAACCCTAATCAAAACTCAATTCATACCTTAGTCCTAATTCTAACCCCTCACTCAAAAACAACATTCCCCTCATGGGGACCAGGATTTGTCCCCACAAGAAGCAGCGGTCCCCACAACCTCGCAATGTAGACAGAAATAGGTCCCCACAAGCATATAAAAACCGAGTTACACACACACACCCACACTGCTGTGAGTGTAACCTGGGCTCCCCTGTCTGTGTTGACAGGTGATTGATGAGTCTCTGGATGTTAACGAAGTGGTTTACAGTGCTGAGAGAGTCAGCGTTATGCATGGTGATGAGCTGGTGAGTACAGCGGCGCCCTCCTCTGGGCTCTCTGGGGAACTACAGACAGCGGGGAGAAGGTGACAGTAGGAGAGTGTCGGAGTGTGCAACCAAACTTTCTTTACCCCCTCTCTTCTTGAGTTAAAGTTTTCTGTTCAAGCTATTTGAAAAAAATAAATTTGAGAAAATGTCATTCCTGCATGGGAGCATGTTTGTTATGTGAATGTACCTGAATGTACACATTGGAAAAACGATGAGCAGAAACTGACATGTCTCAGTTTTTGTGTGGGAATGAGCGGTGAAGAAATTCCCCAGCAGCTGTCGACATATGATCAGATTGTGTCATATGTGCCAAATTACAATGTGAATGTAGAAAATCGAGTTGTGATGAAACGCCAGTTCAGACACGATCAGCTGCAGCACTAAAATGTTTTTTTTTTCTTCTTCTTGAGTTTCTTCATGTTTTGGATGGATCTTCATGTTTTTGAATTAATTTAGGATTAGAAGATGAAGATTTAAAGGTGAATTTATCATCTTTGTCATTTTAGGCCATAAAATCCACTCAGGAAATAGCAAACAAATAAATGAGAAACCAATGCTAACTATTACATAATGATAAACTACAGATTACTGTTACATAATGAACAATATCAAGTTATTTAAGAACTGATCATCTAACTCTCAATATCTTCTTGCATTCTGACTGCAACTAATAAATTGGTATCAAGAACGAACATTTAGTTTGATGTGAGAAAAAACATCTGTAGCTAATTGCTAATGCTAATAGTAGGTATTCTAACATTGGCTAATGCTAACTTTTATTTATGAACTGATTATTTTGTTATTATAAGAAGCTGTGAATAAAAAGTTTTCTTCAGTAAAGTAATTGATATTCTGTGATCAGTCCTTCATTCATTGATATCCAAATTAATGTTAGTTATCTTTCACCTTTTTGTAATGTTAGCATCAGCAGTTAACTGTTTATTTATTTGCTGCTAACGTTCAATTGATTGTCAATAAAACAGTTCAGATTTGTTTAAAGTATTTAGGAAAGTGTGATCAGGAGTTCATTTTGAATTAAAATTGCACTATCAACTCTTTATTAGCGTTTGAACAGAGACTAATTACTTAGTAATAACAATAGTAACGTAAAGTAATACACAAACAATCTCTAAACTAATCATTTACTTTTTCAGAAATTGTGTTCAGGAGTTGACAATTAATGTAAAATTATTTGGTTTCATCATAAAGGAATAATTAACTGATATGTATCAGAGTAATATTCTTAAATTATTACTTGCTAATGTTAACTTACAAATAATGACTTGCTACTTTCTAGCAGCTAGTTAGCAAAACATGTTCATCATTAACCACTGGGTAATGGTTAAATAAAGTAGAGTTTGTTAATAGCTTCTCATTGGCCAAAACCTAAAAGATTTTATGGAGTTCAGTATGACTGAAGCTATTAGCCTCATTGGCTAACAGCGAATAGTTTGAAGCTCTATGGACAGCTAGAATTAGTTACCAAATTTTGATCCACAGTCCATGTTATTAATTCAATATTGCAATATAAACAGCTAACTGTTAGCTAGCTTTTCACCATCAAAAGATGGTGTTGGTTCACTGTCTGGTATTGGTTTACAGAGTTTCCTGTTGAATTAGCACAGGTATTTATGAATGAATGCAAGCAGACGCTAACGAATCCTTGTTTCGCTCCTCCTGGGATTCTATGTTACTAAGTGAATTTGATTGCTTTTTAAAATGAAAACATTCCTTTAATAGCATTCCTCAAAGCATTCCCTCGCTCTTGATAAGCCGCGCTGCCTGGCACTGGTTGGATTTTTTATGGTTATTGAGTAGCATTAAATCACGTAGCTTTTTTTCAAAGTAACAACAACGTTATTTCTGTTTGGAAATAAAGTTGATTTGGTATGCGCTTCACCTATTGTTGGTTTTAATGTGAGAAGTTTGTGTAAATTCAACTGGCAATCTGCAAGCAGCATTTGCATGTTGCTCAGACTTTGCACCGAAGGGGATGTTGTCCCTGATGCACAGCGAAGCGAAACTCCCCCAGTCGATTGATTTCCACCGCTCAAAGCCGCTTCAAGGCGCTTTGATCTGTAAAGTCATATTTTGCACCATCTCCTTTGAATATTTCAATTTGAATATTTTTCAGATTAAAGCTGAGTTTATATGCAGAGTCTTAAAAACCAAACTTCATACATCAAACTGGGTTACGTTTAAAACTTTAATAAGAAATTCAGGAGTCTCATGTCTTCACTTTATTACTATTGATCATCATGATTTGCTCAACACCTCACCTGCTTGGATTTAAGAATAGAGCCTGCAGCAGAAATCGCTGTATTGATTTGGGAAGGCAGTAACTACAAAACCTTTCATGTAAAGTAGAAAAATTTAATTACTGGTAATAACTGCGGACAAATTTGTGTTCACTCGAACGTGAACGCTGAAGATCTTCTAAGTCAGTGTGGGCAAGATGAGGAGTTGCAGACTGGAAAGGTTAGATAAAACCTGAAATCTGTTTTGTCCTGCCCGTCAGCCCTACCGCCCCCTGGGAGAGGACTTCGGCATCAGAAACACCAACACCGCGCTGATCGGCCTGCTGGTGATCGCCGTAGCCATAGCCACTGTGATTGTGATCAGCTTGGTTCTGTTGAGGAAAAGGCAATACGGCACCATCAGCCACGGCATCGTGGAGGTAAGACACCACAACAACAAGGACTGCCAACACGAGTCACTGAATCTAACTAACAATTATTTTACTAATCAATTAGTCTGGCGATTAATCAGATAAAGCATTTTTTATTGAACCATTTAATCTTATTGTGTGAAATATTAGAAATTGATTTGAAATACAAATAAATAAACAATTTGATTGTTGTTTTTTAAATAAGAATGCAGTAACAGCCTTTAGTGAATATAAAGGATCCATCTACAGCTTAAAATACTTAACATCAAAGTAAAAAGATTAACTGAAGTTTATTTTTCGACAGAATTTGAACTGGATGAAGCAAAAACTTTGTCAACTAAGGAGTTTTGTGCAAAACATATTTACAGACTAAAGTTCTTAAAAATTTAAATATTTTTAGAAGTTTTTGCCCTAATAGCAGCTACAAGTACGTTGTTCTTTCAGCTACTGGCCTTTTTGAGTCAAATAGTGACCAATTAATCGTGATTAATTGTGGCTGATCTGATTAATCGTTTTAGCTCTCCTCAGACAGAACGCTTCGCCCTCGCTGCGTTGTCTTGCTGATAATCATCCGCATCTTGTTCACAGGTGGACCCCATGCTGACGCCAGAGGAGCGACACCTAAACAAGATGCAGAACCACGGCTACGAAAACCCCACCTACAAATACCTGGAGCAGATGCAGATCTAACTGAGAGGGGGCGCCGTGGAGCCCACAGGGGGAACATACTACTGACCAATAACACACAACGCTATTGTTAAAATCCTTTGCGTACATCCAAACTCCATTTACTGGTTTGTTCAAAACAATCCTTAAGTAATGCTCCTACTTCTACTACTGTTGTACTATAGAGCTCTTTTTGATCTCATGTCTGATGTTTCTGCCAGTTCGCAAAATAGAAAACAATTTATCTATAATTATCGAGACGGATCAAGATGTATAACATTTCTTCTGACATTTTTATTATGTGAAAAGCAAATCAAACTAATGTTTTTTAGTCATCAAACTGGCACTGCATTTAGTTTCTCCATCATGCAGACTCTGATGGGTTTCATTAAATAATTGGTGTTTTAATGTGTTATTTTTAATCTCAATAGATTGCTTGTATATGAAGGTTCTTTGTACCAATCAAAATGTTTAGTGATTAAAAAAACAAATGGGGAGGAAATAAATCATGGTTTACTTCTTTGCTTTGTTATAATAACAAATATACATAAAATGTTTAAATATACATAAATATATATAAAATTTGATGTTTTTATTCTACCTTTTCCAAAGGAAGAGATTATAAATTGGTTTGGGTTTTATTTTTTATCCTTATTTTTATTCGGTGGTTCGAATGTTTGCAGGCGTTGGAAAAGGTGAGCACCTGTGCAGACCTCCAGCTCAAACGCCATTATTGACTGAATCTTTTTTTGCTTTAATTGGTCAGATTTTCCCGTGCCATTAGTTCATTAAAGTCTTGTGCATCGGGACAAACTGTATATATATATTTGATCTGACACAGCAAGGCAACCAGACAAACTGTTTATCTAAGCAAAGACAAAAAAAGAAATCATAATAAAAATGAGTGAATGTGTTCATTTACCACCTCAGACACACAAACTAGGGATTTATTTTGTTGATATTTAACTAAATACTTTAAAAATATCCGATTATACTTTCTGTTAGAGTTGCAGTTTGGCCTTCATCCAACAGAGGGCGCCAGTGGTCATTCATAAGCAGAGCCGCTGATACAGAAATAAAGATGGCGGCATCAGGGCGATTCCTTACCGGTCCAAACAGAGTCCGGCGTGAGATGCAAAATGCACTTTGTGCGGTTCTGTTTTGAAATATAAACTTTAATACTTTAACAGCCTGAAATGGCGCAGCGTCGGCGCATCATGAAACATGTTGGCCCTTACGAAAACACGGTCCGTTCTCTTGATAAAAGAGAAAACTCAGGTTTTTAAGGAAATGTCCGCTTATCAATTAACCGTTATGCGATCGATAAACTCAATCGATAAACAAGATCAACCTTTTGCTCGTCTGGTAGTTTTAAAAAATCCGTTGTCCAAATGGTACATAGCTGAATGTATTCCTCCATACTATGTATATGATGGGTTCCCCTGAAGCTGATGATCCAATGAACGCCCAGATCTCCACAGGTAGATTTGCGGAAGCTGCAGCTGGAGATCCAAACTGGGCTGAGAACCAACCCTGAATTAACTGCACAAACATTTAACGATGCGATTAACTGACCTGGAGGTCTGCGCAGGTCGTTTGTATTTTTACAGGTAGTGAATGAAACAAGTGAATCCTAATCCTCTATCTTAGTATCGTCTGTATGCCTGTATAGTTGATGTTGCAATCATGGCTCTTTCTTTTTCTGTTTTTATGAGGATTTCTGTGGTGTGCATTGTTCTTATATGAAATCTGTTTAATTTTATTTTCCAGTTTGTTTTTCCTCTTTCTGTGGCAGTATATCTGTATGTGACTGTCTCACTATGCACCCAAACAGCTTCGATCTCGTAACTGCCTGCTTGACTGTGGAAGAGGGTCAGGGGTCATTGATTATATTATGCATATTAGTGATTTAAAACTGATCAACACCAATGGAAACAGATATAAGATTACAAGGGGTGACACATCAATAAACTCACAACAAACAACTGAACGTGTCGTTTTTTTATAAAACTGATGTTTGGAAAAACTGACAAAATCTCACATTTTTGAAAATGCAGGAGAGAATAAGTTTTAGTCGAGAAACTAATTTTAAGTTTTAAACTCCGTCTCAGGGTTTTTGGGAGGGTTTTGTTTGTTGATTTTTTTTTTGAACACGTACAGAAAAAATATTTGCAGTTTGAAGCATGATGCCAAACTTTTGTTTAGAGAACAGGTGGATGTACAAACTTCTCAATATTCCCACATTTATTCCCACATGTTAAAACATAATAATCTTACATTTGTTACAACTTAACTCGCGTTTAGTACAGTATCTATTGTGTCAATTGCAAAACAATGAACAAGAAAAAGTACATTTTATAACCAGCAATAATCATATGTTTATGTAAAGGTATAGATATATACATATTTCATAAAACATAATTTGGTTTAATCTTTATGAAGCAATGTTAACAAAAAAATCTCATGAATAAATGTGTTTTATGCTTTTTCAAATCATCCTCATAACATTTATTTATAGAAGGAAATTGAAAGAAAAATATAAAGCAAAATGTAGTAAAAAAAAAAGATGAATTCAGGATGGAAACATATTTTGTTGTAGGTAAAATACTTTGTCAGAAGAACAATTGGCATTTGTCTTTTTCTTTTTTCTGAAAAAATCTACATAATGCATTTTTATCCCACTTATTCACCACTTTGTCCGTAAAAAACATGAAAATATGAACAAACTGTTTGCAAAAACACAGAGTCTTACCAAGCAATTTGTTTACTGTCTAGAAAGTAAAGAAAACTAAGATATAAGTAACTTTTCAGCAACATATGAACTTGTTTTAATTCAATTAGTTTCACTTTAAATGTGGGAAAATGTCATGTTACAACTCAAATGTTATCGCACTAATATTTGCTTAAAACAAGCTCATAAGGTGCTGAAAAGTTACTTCCAAGTGCGTTTTGTTTCACTTCACTTGAACTTAAATATTTTAAATAGAAACTAAACCCAACATCCTTGGTAAGTTAATTATTTCTGCATCCAGTGTGTGAAATGGAAATATTCACCCGTTTCTTCCGGTTTGTTGTTGCAGAAATTCAGTGTTTTTCTCACATGAAACTCACAGATGGTGGTTAGTCATGACGTCACAAACCCATAATCGATGCTTGTAAAGGTCACGTGACTGCATCTGTGGATTGGACCGGATGAGAACTGAACCACAGTGAAACGGCTCGAGCCGGGCGGCCAATCCGGGTCAGAACCGCGTCCAGAACCAGCAGGTGCATCGCTGCCTTGTTGGCGGGTGAGAAGCCCGGACTTGATGTTGACGTCGGGTTTTGCTCCTCTCTCAGGTAAACAGGAAGACACGCCCTCAGAAACTCCGCTCCCGGAAGAAAGGAGGCTTTTTCTGCGTCCGCCGCTCCTTTGAGACGAGCAGGTGGACATTTTCAGGACAGGTGGAAACTGTTGGATGTCTCCACTGGAGCTGCAGACACATTTTTGAAACATTTCTCTCTTTTTTTCCCGCTTCGTTTGTGGTTTTGTTGACAGACTGAGGATTCACCAGGTGCTGCGGGTTCACCTGGGAAGCTCCATCTACTGAGAGAAACTCAGAACGCAGAGGAAACTTTTGGGGGCGTTTATAGCGAAAGCAGCGCCATGGCGGACCCCATGGAAAGTGGAGTAAAATACATGCCAAAACTGGTAAGTTTCCTCCAGGTTTTCTGTGTTTTTTCCATGAACATTAAACCCTTTCAGCCTCGGAATGAAGGGAATTCAGAGGGTGTATTTTGGTGTTTATGGTATACAGTCAACACACACAGTGGGCAGGATGAGGCCTACCAGCTTATATCTGTCAACAGAAAACTTGTTTCACTTAAGATTTAAAAAACACTTTCTGACACCAACAGTTGCTGTTATCTTGAGAAAAAAGGAAAGTCTCTCTATAATTTCCTAATCAATAACTAGTTTTTGGGTCATCCTGGTGTTAGTTGAAACACAAATGAATAAAAGTTTCACCCACGGTAGGTTGACTTTGTGATCTTGGACGTAAAAGTGTTGACGCAATAAAACGGTGACCTGATTTCTGGAGCAGAAAATGTCTTCAGGAGGAGAAGCAGGAAAATATCCCACTGAACCTGAACACACCTTTTTCTGGGATGTTTTCCAAGAACTCTGCACAATAAAAACTCAGGACTCTCTTCCTCCTTCAGAAACGTTGGTGCTGCTTTCACGCCAGCACCAACGTTTTGACGAAAACAACGGTCCAAAAGTCAGTGGTAGTAAATTCTTGCCGGTTGGGACTTTTGTCACTGTTTGTCCTCCATAAAATAAATTCAGATGAACAACATAGAAACTAACCCTTCAGATTTGGAGAATTTGAACCACTGTTTTTGTTTTTTGTTGTTTTTAGGAATAATTTGATCATGACAATAAAATCCAGATTTGTTATATTTTGGGCTGCATGAACCTGTCAGAACCAGACGGATCCAAATGAAGATCAGTAGGTCAGATTTCAAAGGCCCCACCCAGCTGCATGCACTTTATCTGAGCTCAGTGGGGGGAAAAAAAACAAAAAAACAGACGAACGATTCTATTTAAATCAAAATTAGTAACTGAGAAGTTGCTCTTTGCAATAAATTCTCCCACTTTTTCAGATTTTTTGCCTCAACATTTTGAAAACAATATTTTTTTTATGCGCTTCCAAGAAGGAGCTTGGACTGTACTTGGCATGTAAACGTGTGATGATAATCCAAATAAACATGGGGAACCTGAAGATGTTTCTGCTCCGCCGGATTTAAAATGTGCTTCTTGCTGTTCAGATGGGATGGTTAACCTTTGGCCTTTGGCCTCAGGCTTCGCGGTACAACGTGTCCCCTCAGTGTCGAGCAACTGAAAGTATTTCTGCCCTTACAGCTGAAACTTATGTCACGATTTTGGTGACAAGCACTATCAATAATTATTGAGGTCTAAAGTTGGAGTTGATCGTATTTATCGGAGACAAAACGGCTCTTTCTGTTGGGTAAGCTGTAAACCCGGCTGTTTTTCAGTTTCTGCCGCAGTAAACACTCAGGAACTTGTTGGTTTGCTCCCAGCAGGTTTGACAGGATTGTGCGTGGTGAAACCTTTGTTCTCCCTCCCCCGCCCCAATCGGTGAAGAACTTCCTGGAAGAAACCACTCCGGCACCCTGAGTCAGGCGTTACCACCTCAGGCGTGTGCAAAACGGCTTTTTATTCAGTAATGAAAACAAAATCTTACCGAGTAATTTGTCTAGTTTCCATCCTAATTACATCAACAAACTTGAAATAAGCTCAAACTAACTTAGAAATAAGTTCTTAGCAAGATATAGGAGCTTGTTTTAAGCCAATAACTGAGGAAAAATGCTGGTTTTCCACACATTTTTACATGTGAAAAAATGTCTTATTAGTGAATTAATCTCCCAGTGAAACTAGTTCATTTTACTCAATTTTAGAAGATTATTGACTTAAAACAAGCTCATATTTCTTGCTGAAAATTTACTTGTAAGTTATGTTTCTCTTATTTCAAGTGCAATAAGATATTTGCTCTAGAAATCAGATCAAAAATACTTTGTGTCTTTGCAGTGAAGGAGTTCATATGTTGGGTTAAATCAAGAAAAACCAAAATAAAAACAGTGTTGTGCACGTCTGACTCAGGAGAAACTGTTTCTGTGGGCATCTTAAAGCATAATTACTGTAATGTATTTTACCTCCTTACAAACGTCTTTATGTCACTTAATGATTTCCCTATAACTTTTAATACCAGCTAAAAATAACTTGAATGAATCCAAAATGCCATTTTCAATGATTTTATTTATTGAGGTGTGGAAAGTTTTTTTCTTTCGTTGTTAAACTGTGACGTTGCTTCGCATAGTTTTTTGTTGTTGTTCCGTTTCGCTTGTCACTCGCACCCCTTATTGTCAGCTCTAGTTACTAAATCACTTCACTGAAACCTGTCTGATGACTCAACGAAAGCACGAGATTATTGGCTAATAACACGGCTGCCATAACTATTTTAGGGGTATTCTATCGATTAGTCTGATAATTAATTGAATAAAAACATTGGCACATACTGCAAATTTTCCATGACACATCGTACGCCTTCTTTGTACAAAAATGAATTAAAAAGTGTAAATAAACAGTCAATTCCTATTCAAATACAGCGATAAAGCTTTCTTTTAGTGTAAGCTTGATCATTTATAGCCAAAGGTGCTTCTGGACTAGGGCTGCAAGTGATCGTTTAAAGACTATCTAAAATGTATTGCTCTTATCAATCAGCATACTATTAATTGATGAGTGGCCATTTACTTAAAAACCTGAGTTTTGTATTAAGAAAACAAACGGCTGCATTATTCATAATTTGCTGACGGATTCGCTGTTAAGTTGAAACTGAAGGAGTCTGCTGAGTGTTCATATTTCAAAACAAACACATGAAGTGGATTTTCTACACCTCTGCTTACACCGTTGTGTCTTCCACCATCTTTGTTTTAAGTATAACCAGCGGCGCCCTCTGCTGGATGGTGGCCAAACTACAACGCTAAAAATAGATCTCAATGGACTATTGGAACTAATCTTAGTCTAATTAAGCATTAATCATAACTTGATGAATTGTTTGTACTTGTAATAAATAAATACTTAACATCAACATGTGAAAAGCGGAATTAAACATCAAGACAGTGTAATTATTGGGCAGCAAAACATTCAAGATGTTTTCAAATCTGGACCAGGTGAAGCTAAATATTCCAATTAAGACATTCAGGGTAGAACAGATTCAAATGGAAAATGCATAATTTGTTTTGTACCGTTTTGGCTTACATACTGCCCTGATTATGTCGTTCTTTCAGAAAATGGTCGTCTTCTTTTGCCTATGTACTTCAAATTACTTTGATTATTGAAATGACAGTAATTGATTAATCATTAATAAATTTCTTTTTGTTTTCCAGGATAAAGAATATGAATCTGTGCAGTTCCTGCCAACGG